GTCTGGGATAACTGACGGGCCACCCCCAGGTGGTGAGGGTAGGCAGCAACACATCCGCCATGCTGACCATCAACACTGTGCCCCTCAGGGGTGCGTGCTTAGTCCCCTCCTGTACTCTCTGTTCACCCATGACTGTGTGGCAGTGCACGACTACAACACCATCATTAAGTTTGCTGACTACACAAAGGTGGTAAGCCTGATAACCGAAGACGATGAGAGCCTATAGGGAGTAGGTCAGTGACCTGTCAGTGTGGTGCCATGACAACAACCTCTCCCTCAACACAACATAAAGGAGCTGATCGTGGACTACAGGAAGCAAAGGGCTGAGCATGCCCCCATCCACATCGACGGGGCTGTAGTGGAGCGGGTCGAGAGCTTCAAGTTCCTTGGTGTCCACATCACTAAGGAATTAACATGGTCCATACACATCAACACAGTCGTGAAGAGGGCACGACAACACCTCTTCCCTCTCAGGAGGTTGAAAGGATTCCTCAAAAAGTTCTACACCTGCACCATTGAGAGCATCTTGACTGGCTGCATCACAGCGTTGGTATGGCAACTGCTTGGCATCCGATCGCAAGGCGCTACAGAGGGTAGTACTTACGGTCCAGTACATCACTGGGGCCGAGCTCCCTGCCATCCAGGACCTCTATACCAGGAGGTGTCAGAGGAAGGCCCTAAAAAATTGTCGAAGACTCCAACTACCCAAATCATTGACAGTTCTCTCTGCTACCGCACAGCAAGCGGTACCAATGCACCAAGTCTGGAACCAACAGGACCCTAAACAGCTTCTACCCGCAAGCCATAAGACTGCTAAATAGTTAGTTAAATAGTTTACCAAATAGCTACCCGGACTATCTGCATTGACCCCTTTTGCAGTAACTCTTTTGACTCATCAAATATGCTGCTGCTACTGTTTATTATCTATCCTGTTGCCTACTCACTTTACCCCCACCTATATGTACATATCTACCTAATTTACCTCGTACCCATGCACCCATACGTAAAAATGTATGCGCACATGACTGTAAGTCGCTTTGGATAAAAGCGTCTTCTAAATGGCATATTATTATTATTATTATATTACATTGACTCGGTACTGGTACCCTGTGTATATAGCCAAGTTATCATTCCTCATTGTGTATTTATTCCTTGTGTTATTTTTCTATATTTTTTCTATTTTTCTCTCTGCATTGTTGGGAAGTAAGCATTTCACTGTTAGTCTACACCCATTGTTTACAAAGCATGTGACAAAAACAATTTTATTTGATAACTAATTTGTTATATCAATCATATTGACAATGCTAAAATAACAAGTTCTCAATTTTAAATGCAACGTTCATCCAAATTACTCCTTCAATGTGTCATGGATATTTAGAAAATGACATGACCCTTTTTAGTTCCTCAAATGCTAATTTCAAGCTGGGCTAAGTAAACAAACCCAAGTCTGGGTGACTGACTTTCAGAGTCCATATTAGAATCCATTCAACAGTCAAATTAATAATCAACAACCAACAAGGAAACTAACAAGTACCAACAAATGAAGTGGTTCAAAGACGAGTAGGCTATTGGTTTTTATCTTACTTTTTTATCTGATCTTAAGTGGATTTGACTATTAACTATTAGAGAACACAGAATTTTTATGAAAAGACAACAACGCAAATGTGATTCACACCAATTTCTCTCCTCCACACAGAACTGCTAGCTTGACCCAAAATTGTACTTCCTGAACAGCATCCCCACACAATCTCTCCCTCTCCAAATCAACCATTATCACCAGCCACTCTGACTACACATGCACATCCCTGTTCCATCCAGCCATCCCATCCAGCTAGAAAAACACACTCACAAAAGAATGACACTCGTTTGTGTCCAAAAAAAAGAGGCCGAATGAGGCACTTCTTATTCAGCACAGGTCATTTGCATGGAGCTCCACTTCCCGATTTGTGGTCCTGTGTGGCTCAGTTGGTAGAGAATGGCGCTTGCACCGCCAGGGTTGTGGATTTGATTTCCGGGGCCACCCATATGTATGCATGCATGACTGTAAGTAGCTTTGGATAAAAGTGTCTGCTAAATGGCATATATTATTTACTGACTCTAGGGGCCAATGCTGCCAACACAGAGAGTATGGAGAGGGTTCAGAGAGTTGAGATTATCACTGTACTGGTACTCCATCAACATGTAAAGGCATCCATAACACTTGAGACGTAACTTATTGATATCAATAATCAGTGTTGGGTAATAGTGAACTACATGTTGTTCAACTAGTAATAAACTACATTTTGCAGTAGCTTGGTGGTAGTTCAACTAAATTCAAATCTTGGTAGTGTTTTCAGCAGTTAATTACTTTTTTTGCCATGGTACCTACTGGAACTCCTACACACTACTTTTTTTGCAAAAATAAAATATAATATGTGTGAAGTAGGCAACAATTTCCTTTCTTTTGTGGCATCAGATCTGCCTCATTCTCACTTGAAACATACATTTTGTGTTTAATAGGATAAATTGCACATTATGTTAACATCTGACTACAGAGTGATCTGTTCTTGCGATTTGTATTCTATGACATTTCAAGATTTAGATATGATAATTTCTCACGAAGTAGTTTGGATGTAGTGAACTACTTTTTCAAAGTAACTTTAGTTAAGTAAACTATATGTTTCTTAAGGGTAGTTTATCTTCTTCCAGTGTGAAGTAATTGGTAGCTTGGTAGACTATATTTTTAGAGTAGCTACCCTAACACTATCAATAATAGTATCTCTTATCAAATTGCAATATATTGACTACTGCAGGCATACAGTCAGGAACCTGTGCAACAAAATGTGACTGAGTTAGTCCAATTAATCAGATGATAGAGTGAGAAGATGTGGCTTCACAGGCAGCTCTGACAATCCAAGCCAGACAACCCCAATTACCCAGAAAAGACAACATAAGAACTCCCTATGAAACTTTACAAAACCCCAAGACTCTCTCTTCCACTCGCTCTCCCACTCGCTGCCTGCATTTGACTGACTGACTCAGAGATGGGCTGCGAGAGATAATTTACTTTTGTTTTCGTGCGTACCATAATCAAGACAGACGAACCACAGATTATTATGAACATGTGGTGTGTACAAAATAATGTCAAAGTCAGCAAGCTGGTTGATTTATTTATTTATGATATTTAATGATTTATGCTTCCTTCGCAATGCCAATAGCCATATTAACGGTGGTTGGAACTTCTGAATAAGGGACATTTTTTATATAGACATTGGCGGCTTAAAACCTCTACATACAATGGCCAGACATATTAAGAATGTGTTCCATTGCAGGGAGTCAGAGCCCAAATAATAAGCCCTTTGGATATTTGGTGGAACAGTTGTCATGGGCAACTGAGATGAGCACTGACACGCAATATTATGTGAATCAACATGCACTTGGCCCAAACAATACATGGTCTTCTGCCATCAAAGTTTGCGATAACTCTCTGGAACTTGTAGAGAACTTAAACATGGCAAGGTAAACAATTGACTCCAGTTATGTTCATCAGCAACTTCAGGATTATAGCTTTCTAATAGCTAAATGTGCGTGTAGTTATGAGAAACTATCTGAGAGATAATTCGGATCCTTTTCACGCTTTTATCCCCTTGTTTGTGAGTTTATACTGTATCTTGAAATAGTAACAGGCTGCAGTGGTTTAATCATTATTAGAACACATATTAATTTGATAAACCTTCAGCTCTAGATGGCATTAAATAGTTAGCTTTAGTCAGCAGACTATCCAGTTTATTAAATTCCTATTGTATTGGAGTAGCATCTACATTGATACCATAATTGAAAACTATGAAAGTACTAGATTTACATCATTACTACAATAAAACAGCACCTTCACCTAAATGTAGTGTTTATTATTCACTGTGCACACTATGACAGATCTGTCTATCTTATGAAAACCAAGAAAATGAAACAAGAAAGAAACTGGCCTATCTGATAGGTAAACTTTGCATCGTCATGATCTCAAATCAGCAGAAAACATATCTTCTATTATCAACATATGAAGCTTAAGCATGAAAAATAGATGATGAGCATAATGATTGATTATGATAAAGTGCCAAAATGATGTGTTCTGATGTTTTATGTCACTGAAGCTCTACGTAACATGACACTTTTGTAACGCATAACCACAACCAATGAATACAGATGAGAATGAGATCACAGCTTTGTATGCAGTGAATTAATGAAGCCATTGGCTAAAGCCTTACATTTCCTCTCAAGACCAGCAGACTTCACTCACTTTGATTCTCAGTCTTGCTTTTCTTTGCAATACATTTCAAAACTCAGTCAAATTGGAGTTAATTTTATTTTAATTTGAGTCGTATCTGAATAGAAAATAATATCAGTGCAGCTCTCGACAACACATGCCGCAACATATCAATATCACGTTAAATGAATTGAGGAAGGATCTTTGCGGTTAAGAAAGGAGTGCTCTTGCTACTGTCTATGCTTGAAAATGCTAAATAACCCAGACAGGATGTAGGTCTACCATCTGGTTCATAAATGACTGCAAACAAAAGCTATGCTATAGCAAAATAGAACCAATGTGATTGATTATAATTGTGAAATACAATGTAATGTTGATTTTTTTTGTAGTCAACACACCAATCGCAATGAAACCATTTTAGAAAAAAGGGGGATTGATAGTGGGATGGGGACCATTTTCTAAAAGACACGCATAATCTTCAGTCAGAGTTTTCTAAAAAGTATTTTTTACACTTAGTACAAAAAAGACATTTCTACCCGTTAGTGCTTTGTTTTAAGATACTATAACATAAATAAACCATTTATTTTCAGTGTTCAAACAGACAGCTCCAGTGTGACTGGAAAACGAACATACTCCACCGTGTTCCAGTTGGCAGCAGAGGGCTTACTATAGAGACTCAGCTTTCGGTGCGCCCCAAGGCACCACGCTAACACAGCGTTCTTCATGTCTACACAACTCCAAAAAGAAAACACCTCCAGTTTGGGGGCTCAAATATTCACCTCTGTTCTCTCCCTCTATGGAAAAACAAAAGAAAACTCCAAAGAGTTCTCACTAGAAGACTTTTAGCTGACTCTTTCCCAGAGTCTCATCCCTCAAGTTACTGTAATTTTCTACGACATCTCCAGTCTCTTTCTGTTCCATTTAAAAGCCATTCCGTGAAATAAAGAACTACAAATCCCAGAGTGCAATGCACAGTTCCCGTCCAGGCACCATTTGTTTCCTGTAGTCCCAACTTTTAGAGTCACTTTGAATGCATAACTACATGAGCACACATTATTTTTTCTCAGTCAGTCGAAGATCTGGGGTAGTATTATTACCTATTGATATTTAGCCTTTACTTTCTTAAAAAGCAAATTTAGATTCTGCTGTGCAAAACGATGCCATGAAGAGCTGATATGAAAAATTCCATTCCTTTTTTATTGTAAAATCTTTCATTGTTCCTGTTCCAAGACATGTCCATTTATCTTTCCTCTGGGGGTCTTCCTCCTCATCCAGCTAGTCCTGTCACGCCCCTCCCCATCATCGTACCGTACCGTAGGTCCGTTATGCCACACCCCTCTATTTGCAGGTAAACACCTCCGTCCTCTCGCTGCACGTGTTGCACTTGACAAAGCAGCACCACTGGAACTTACAGTTGCACTGCCACACTTTGGTGTACTGGTGCGTGTTGTAGCCCCGGCCGCAGCACATAAGGTCGCAGCCATCCGTGTGGGGCGAGGTGCGGTTACACAGCCTCCCCTGGGTGCCCACGCTCCCCGTGGCCGCATCCTCCTCGCAGTAGTTGGGTGACCTCTCGATGTAGACGAGGTCGGTCTCCATGGGCTTGCGGTAGCCCTGTGTCTTCTTCACCTTGAGGAAGGTGGGCTGGCGTAGTCGGCTAGCCCGGACCACCTCCACATGAACCGCCTCGTTGTACTTGTCCTTCAGGATGTAGCCGATCTCTCGGAACTTGGGCAGGGTCGTCCAGCAGGTCTTGGTGGTGCAGGAGCCTGACACGCCGTGACACTTACACTCCAACTTCATCCGCTCCTCTAGGACCTGCATGGACACACAGGAAGAGAGCGTTGTAAGAGGTTACATGGCGTTACATTACATGACATTACATTACATTGCATTCCTGGGACAGTCCCAGCGTTAAAATACAGGAATGACCTGACTTGGGTGGAAACAGAAACCAAGAGAAACCCTAAGGGTGAAGAGGTTCCTAGCTAGCTCTTCTACTAAATGAATAATGGAAAAACAGTCAACAGAAGGTCAGTGAGAAAAGATGGTCCTTGGGATAATATCATATTATGATCAGAGTCTATAATTAAAGACCAAGCTGTTCTCAAATGTTGTTGAACCACCGCACCTTTCTCAAAACTCCCAATTAATTATCTCTTGAGCCAACAAATAGATACTATTTTAGTGCATTTGGCAATAACTCCCAAACACAGTCGTCTAATGCAAGGTTAAAATGTGACACGATTCTGTCCAACAATCTTCCATGGGGCTTGGTGACATTGATGATGTTTATTTTTTAAAGTATGAGAAAATGTAATGATACTTATGAATCAAAATGCTTTAAAGTCTTCCTTGACATTTTAAAAAGGACATACTTGAAACCATCAAGTTTAAACATCTCTCCTTATAACAGTTCATTTAATATTATTTAAATAAAAGTGTGGGAACATACCAGACTGTTGCATGAGCGATAAGGACAACTGTTGTCTATGTTGTATTTGGAGGACTGTTTGGACGGCATGTTTCTATGGATGCTGGTATTTCTCTGATATAACGTCAGCTTCACAGGTCACACCAGTGCTTTCCTAGTTTGTTTTCTCTTCAATGTTACATATACATTCTTTAGAGAAAGACCAAGAGACATTCTGAGTGAAGAGGACATATTTATTTGAGTTCAATATTGGGTCTATTAATGAATAATCAAGAGTTTTCAGCAGATGGTTGGTGAATGCACTCTTTGTTTGGAGGAGTCCCTGTAAATGGAAACGGATGTCCACAATGACAGATCTGTGGAATTCCAAACACATTTGTTATGAAGTATTTGAGTTAATATTGTGTTATAGAATTGGGGAGTTTTGTTTGATCTAAATTCACACTTATTGTTTGTTCTGTGCGTTGTGCAACATCCACTTACGTCTGAGGGTCAAACATTCGCATCCTGGCTAAGCGTAGAGCAGGGGTGTCAAACAAATTTTGCCCCGGGGGCCGTATTCGGTCTTCAACGAGGTCTGGAGGGCCGCACTGAAAATGTGTTATATTTCCTCGCCGTCAAAATCTGCAAGAAATTGTCCTCTATCTATTGTTTTTTACATTTTCAATGCTCCCTGACTGTCTAGCTTTCATTTAGGGGATTATTAGCGACCTGGACACAAGTCAAGAAACTGTATGAATGTAGGTCCATTATCATTTCTACACAAATCTGAGTTGGTTTTAGTTATTTTTAAATATATTGAGTTTGTTTTACACAACCAATTTTCTTTTTCAAAACAATATATATATATATATATATATATATATATATATATATATATATATATATATATATTAAATATATTTCATTAACTCAAACCACCCGCGGCCCGGATTAGACCCCCTCACGGACCGTAGAGCGAGGAAAAATGCATTTACTGGTGATATTCTACCATGTAATTATCCCTACCTTCCTGAAGACCACATCAATAGCAGGGGGAAATAAATATTAATCTCATTTAACCATACACCATTACGCTTGAGTTAAATGTGGATCATTCGGCTATTTTATGGGTTACAGATATGTTGCGCAGACATCCTCGACAGTTGACCATTAACTGTTTGCATTTGGATCAGAGTGTACGCTGGGATCATGGTTTGGTTTATTAAGTAAAGAAACATGGTGTTTAAATGAAAAAGCTCAATGCATGAAATACTGGATGTCGCAATAAAACAGATCATCCAAACCAACACTTCAAGGACTCTTATCTTGAATCAAAACATGTTCAGATAGCAGACATATCTCTTAGAAACTGAATCGTTTCAAAATGCACTAGCCACGCCCTCACCAAGCTCATCTTCAGCTCCAACATGTGGCACACAGTGTAGTAGAGAACTCCTATTAAATGCCTAATCCTAGGGCATCTGGGAAATATTGTGTGGTGTCCACGGCAGTTTAGTGTCAGGACTGAGACAATCCTTGTTCTACAACAGGCTTCTACTAACCTACTGTAATACTGCATTCTACCACTACGGTACATGCTGTATTCACTAGAGAATAGAGTGGATAAAGTAATTGAGAAATAAGAGACTGTGGCTCTTGTATGGGACATGGAATACATTAACACTTCTGTAGTAGTCTTAACATGACTCTTTCAACCTAATTGGGCGCTTCTACTTGTAGGAACCAAGCACGTATTTATTGTATAAGATGTTCTGTTTTGTTGGCAGGGCATTTTTCCAGAGCAGTTTTTTTTTTTGTGGCACGACGCCTTGCCAGCAGTAGTCATTGTTTCTATCAGACACTTACACAATGTATGCTGAGTTATCGATTAATACATGCCGCCAGACTCTTACATTGACACTGTACGTGATTTGAAATCCCTCATTAGCAGATATTCGATTGAAAGAGTGGGGAGAAGGTAAAATACTTGAGGGTCAACCAACAATCTCGTCACACATGGTGATTCAGAATGAGGATTTCCAAAAATGTATGGCGGCACAAACCACAATTGTCTATGTGAAACAGACTGACTGAATGGTTGGAAACATTTACTTTACACTGTTTCCATCAAACCTCTTGTCTGCTACCAATTAGTCAGATATGACCAGATTTCCTCTAAAAATGTATTGTCAAACATACTGGATCCCAGTATACAGACAGACTAAATAATTCCATGGGTTTGTCTGTATTTATTTGGGATTTACAGAACTGGAGCCTACAGTGTTTGTGTCTGAATGTTCTAGATGCAGAGGGATCTTTGTAGTGGTAGAGTAGTAGACTCTCAACTTGTTGGACACCAGAGTATTTCGTTAAAAGGTCTAGGGCCATCATCAATCAAACCCCAAACACTGTGAAGAAAAGGGCATTATCCCTGTGCTGTGAAAATGCAGCCATTCAAACAAAAAAATATATTTTTGAGTTTCCCTCATCTCGTTAATCAACAGATTGCGCTTGAAAAAGTACTTTTCCCCCTACAACTCCAGTTTCTACAGAGTGTGTTTGATTGAATCCCATCATCCATACCAAACCTCTGCCAGGCCTAACTCAAACTCAGACAGGTCACCTGACTGCGATACCCTCATATCAGTCTGCCTGCGTTAACTCAGCCATTGTTGCTGAATGGGTGCAGTGAAATGGCAGTGCTGTGTTTTTGGTACGGCTGAGAGAACTGCAATAATATCCTGTTCCTGACTTTACACTTCATAATTCCATGAAAGGGCTGGATGAAGGGCCATGGCAGAACTCCATCTGGCAGCTGGCGGCCGGCCGCGCTCCGCTTCCCCAGCGAGCAGCGAGCACACGATAAAACCCTGAACTTATTAATTAGATCCATTTGTCACCATAATGCCAGAGAAAGCCCAGGCAGGCAGTCAGGCTCTCTGTCAGTCTCTCTCTCTCTCTCTCTCTCTCTCTCTCTCTCTCTCTCTCTCTCTCTCTCTCTCTCTCTCTCTCTCTCTCTCTCTCTCTCTTTCTGTCATTCTCGCACTCTATCACTCCTTCTTTCTACATCTCTCTCTCTCTTCATTTTTCTCTCTGTTGTTCACTCTGCCTCTCTCTCTCTCTCTCTCTCTCTCTCTACCCTCCCTCCCTCCCTCTGTTATGGTTCATGTTGTTCTGTGTTCTGGGATGACTAATAGCAAACAAACATGGCCCAGGAGAAGTGTGCCAGATCACTCGTAGAGAAAAATACACCCCATTATTGTAGAAAAAACAAACAGTAATTGAGCTGAAGCAAAACAAGCTGCTGAGAGGCTTACTGGGACTTGTCAATCAGCACGTCACCCAATCAGGGGTTCCCGCCACCACTCTGTAGCTTTCCACTCTTTCTCAGGCCTAGGGTGTTTACACATGGATGAATATGCACAGACACCAAACATGCACAAACGAACAAACGCACACACACACCAATCTAAAAAGATAAAGATGTATTTATTCTATATAGTGTTTACCTTTCTCCCTGCCTCATTGTTGTGGAGGTTCATCAGCCGTCGCGTGGTCTTCTTGATCTCGCGGGCGTCCACGAACCTCCTGGAGAACTCCACGCCATACTTGATGTCCGCCGAGCAGCCTCCCCACTTCCAGCCCTCCTCCTGATTATAGTAACCCTGCTTCTCCCGGTCGCAGCCACACTGGCTAAGGTTGCCCTGGCTACACGCCGCTGTGATGGCGTGGGCTACGCCGGCGGCCGTGATAGCGTACGTGAACGCAGCTTCCCGGCTACCTGAGAAGAGGAGACAGGAGAGAGAGTAAGGTCGTTAAATAATTGTAGAATTACAACGATGACAAGTGAACACTATAGAAGCTGGTGGGACCTATGACCTCATTGCTCACGCTTTATTCTATTTCCACTTGATGATCTAGATACGGAAGTCAGGCATAACCCCGCAGGCAAGACCTCCCCTGCATCCCTCCTTCCTTCCTTTCCCTCCTGCACCTTAGTAACATGGTCACAGCGCAGACCACAAGTCCTTAAGCACAGCCTCCAAGTATGCAGTGCTGTGATTCCAGGCAGAGTGGGGAGAGGAGAGTACTGTAGCTAGGTGCTGTCCAAAGTGCTGAATTCCTCTCCTCGAGCACCTTGTACTGCTGCCCACATTACTACAGCTGTGGTCTGCAGGTCTGCCTGGCTGCTTAGTGCACTAACTTTCCTTTTCCTGGCTATCTCTCTCTCTCCTCTCTCTCTCTAGTAGCCTGGCAGCGAAGGTTTCTCTTTCTGGTGTTCTCTCTCTCTCTATAGTACAGTTTGCAGTGGTTAGGACTTCAGTATTACTGGTAAAGGCCAAGGCCATGTACGCACAAGGTCAGAGGACAATCAACAGACAAAAGTGAGGCCGTGTGACATATGTAGTATTTCCTCCAATGAGATTTATTGTTCAGGGCCGTCAATACAAATGTCTTGTTCTACCATCCCTTTTCAAGTATGCATCCCCTAGTGCTGTCCCATGGTCAGTAGGCAATAGTCAGTCTTTAACAGGCTGCTGTGCTCTAAAAGGGGCCGTGGGCGCTGTGCTGTCACTGTGAGTGACCCAGGTGTCCCCTGAGCCGTCCTTAATGTGAGAGAGAGTAGAGAGGCTCTGAGCTTCAAAGAGAGAGGGAGAACAAACGCTACTGGTGACTAACCAGTGGGTTTTAGTGGGCCTGTAAGCATTTATGAGGGGGAGTGAGGGATCTTTTTTTTTACATGGCTGTTCTTGTTCTTTTACATAACATACTTTGCCTGTAACATCACAACAAGCATGCTTTAGAACTCATGGTTGTGTTTCTTCTTACTAAAATGTTTGTTCCATCTCATGTAACGAATATTAATCAAGTATTTCAGATATGAAGGAGATTTTATGATCGGACCGACATACTTTCTGCTGTCTGGTCCATATGGCCTACTGTACCAGGCTACCAGCATGAGGGAAGGGGAAAGGATCTTGACATTCAGCAACGTGTGACCACTGCATATTGCAATATATTTAGCCAAATTACAGAAAAAACATGACATACCTCAAATGTGAAAAGTGAGATGTTATTTGCCTAAGCCAATTTAGAAACTTACTAGACTTAAAATCACTGCTTAATTTACCTTATTTTACAGCCCCAACCACTGTGGTCGCAGCCAGTGGAGGCTTCTAGTCCGTGCTGGACCTAGCCCCGTCCATGACTGCTGCTATTGCTAATGCCCTGGCCTGCCTGCCGTATGTACTGTATGAGGAATGACTCACAACCACCAGCCTTACTGGTTACCAACAGAGATGTGACCTGCCAGCTTGTGGTTACTTACAGCTCAGATTGACTTTGAAATTGGACGTCTGTGCTTGTCCTGAGGACGTCGGGAAATGCATTCAAGAACGGCCTCTAGGGGCAACAGTGAGCACTATTTCCATCAAGTAGGTTTGGGTTTGAAGGGTTACTTCGGGATTTTGGCAATGAGACCCTTTATCTATTTATAATAATATAATAATATGCCATTTAGCAGATGCTTTTATCCAATGCAACTTACAGTCATGCGTGCATACATTTTTGTGTATGGGTGGTCCCGGGGATCGAACCCACTACCTTGGCGTTACAAGCGCCGTGCTCTACCAACTGAGCTACAGAGGACCTATTTCCCCAGAGCCAGATGGGGAAATAGATTCCACAAACTTGTTTATCTATTTTGTTGTGCTGTTACATTTGTATTGATGTTTCGGTTTAACTATTCGGAATGAATGCCTAAACCTAATGTTTTAACCCTATCCAAAAACGTTAACCCTTAACCTAACTATTCGGAATGAATGCCTAAACCTAATGTTTTAACCCTATCCAAAAATGTTAACCCTTCACCTAACTATTCGGAATGAATGCCTAAACCTAATGTTTTAACCCTATCCAAAACGTTAACCCTTAACCTAACTATTCGGAATGAATGCCTAAACCTAATGTTTTAACCCTATCCAAAAACGTTAACCCTTAACCTAACTATTCAGAATGACGTGGAGCAGGACGAGCAATCCAGGGTGTAAAAAAAAAAAACTTTAAAATCTGACGTTTGGCGCAACATCAAAATTTGACATTTGGAGAAACATCAGAATCTGAATTCAAATTGGTAAAACCGTGTGATCTTGTTGCTGAGCTATCCCCACCTCACACACGCACACAGTCACACACAGTGACACACACACAGAATCGCACACACAACGTCACATTCACACAGACACACACAAAGACACACATACTCAAAATACACACACACACACCGAACACACACATGGCGGGGCAGTGTAATGGTAAAAACAGAATGGATACTGGAGTTTCCAGGGTAGGAAGGGTGGTTCCCTGTGCCATAGATGCAGGCCTGTTTCTGGGCCCATTCTGCCTCCACTAACACTGCTCATTGGGGAAATTATGATGATCAGGTGGGCTGGTATTGGTTGACACCTGCTGTTGGGTCTGGAACCAGGGCTGTAACTAGGGTTTGAGTTTTAGTGAGGTTCCAGGATTGTTTTGAAAGTTGAAGCTCATTTACTGCATTTCTGTACAATAAAACAACTTTAAAATACTATTTGGAAAACAGCAAAAACAAGCAAAATTGACCCCAGCCATTATCACCTTGGCTGCTGTAGGTTTGTTCACCTCAGTCGATTTACAAACACATAGCCTATTAGCTATGCAATTGTAATGTTATACCCCTGAAAGAGGGGAAATATGAGAAATGATTCACACTGATATGTAGTATCAGTGACTGTTCAGTCAGTTGTACTGATGAATTGCATAAAATCATCAAATCTTTACATAGATATCTCTTTTCTCAAATTGCATAGCATTCACATTTGTATTCCTAGGCATTACTAATCAAGCTCCGTACAAACAGACATCAATGGAGCACACAGATTATCGTATTATCACTTTAACATTAATTATTACAATATTACTTACGATTCTGTATTAATATCAGTGATGTAGTGGTAAAAAAAAAGATGGGCAATGGATGAACTATAAACTCAAATCAAATCAAATGTAATTTGCCACATGGTCCGAATACAACAGGTGTAGACCTTACAGTGAAATGCTTACTTACAAGCCCTTAACCAACAATGCAGTTTTAAGAAAATTAAAAAAAGTGTTAAGTAAGAAATTGATAATTAAAAATAAAATTATAGAATAATTAAAGAGCAGCAGTAAAATAAAATAACAGTAGGGAGGCTATATACAGGGGGTACCGGTACAGAGTCAATGTGCGGGGGTACTGGTTAGTTGAGGTAATTGAGGTAATATGTACATGTGGGTAGAGTTAAAGTTACTATGCATAGATAATAAACAGAGTAGCAGCAGTGTAAAAGAGGGGGTGGGGGGGGGGAATGCAAATAGTCTGGGTAGCCATGATTAGCTGTTCAGAAGTCTTATGGCTTGGGGGTAGAAGCTGTTAAGAAGCCTTTTGGATCTAAACTTGGCGCTCTGGTACCGCTTGCCGTGTGATAGCAGAGAGAATAGTCTATGACTAGGGAATCTTTGACAATTTTTAGGGCCTTCCTCTGTCACCGCCTGGTATAGAGGTCCTGGATGGCAGGTAGCTTGGCCTCGGTGATGTACTGGGCCGTACGCACTACCCTCTGTAGTACCTTGCGGTCGGAGGCCGAGCCGTTGCCATACTAGGTGGTGATGCAACCAGTCAGGATGCTCTCGATGGTGCATCTGTATAACTTTTTGAGGATCTGAGGACCCATGCCAAATCTTTTCAGTCTCCTGAGGGGGAATAGGCTTTGTCATGCCCTCTTCTCGACTGTCTTGGTGTGTTTGGATCATGATAGTTTGTTGGTGACGTGGACACCAAGGAACTTGAAGCTCTCAACCTGTTCCGCTACAGCACCGTCGATGAGAATGGGGGCGTGCTCAGTCCTCTTTTTTTCCTGTAGTCCACAATCATCTCCTTTGTCTTGATCACGTTGAGGGAGAGGTTGTTATCCTGGCACCACACGGCCAAGTCTCTGACCTCCTCCCTATAGGCTGTTTCATCGTTGTCGGTGATCAGGCCTACCACTGTTGTGTCGTCGGCAAACTTAATGATGGTGTCGGAGTCGTGCCTGGCCATGCAGTCATGGGTGAACAGAGAGTACAGGAGGGGACTGAGCACGCACCCCTGAGGGGCCCCCGTGTTGAGGATCAGTGTGGCAGATGTGCTGTTACCTACCCTTACCATCTGGGGGTGGCCCGTCAGGAAGTCCGGGATCCAGTTGCAGAGGGAGTTGTTTAGTCCTAGGGTCCTTAGCTTAGTGATGAGCTTTGAGGGCACTATGTTGAACGCTGAGCTGTAGTCAATGAATAGCATTCTCACGTAGGTGTTCCTCTTGTCCAGGTGGGAAAGGGCAGAGTGGAGTGCAATAGAGATTTCATCATCTGTAGATCTGTTGGGGCGGTATGCAAATTGGAGTGGGTCTAGGGTTTCTGGGATAATGGTGTTGCTGTGAGCCATGACCAGCCTTTCAACCACCGATATAAAGCTATGACTATTTTAGAACTCTATTGTTTGCATTTTGATTGCATTTTAATGGAGGCCTAGGCCATGTCGAGATGTTCATATTGAAACATATATTATTTTTTAAAGTTCCTAACTTGTTTGATAAGATTAGTACAAAATTGCTTTTAGTCCAGCATCTCGCAAACACACTGTCAGCAGCGTCTCTAGTTGCTTTACTTGAGTCCGGAGATGACTAGGGTAGTTGGGGTAGTTCGTTTCACGTCTCACTCATTCGCAAAGAGCCAGGTGCAATCAGAAGTCAGTCAGATCATCAGTATAAGTGTTCTGAGTTTTAATCAACGCTGGGAGCAATATTTAGATGTGTACAAAATAAAAAAATATATAAATTTTTTTACTTGAGGTCCAGACCTCGGTGTCCTCATACGTAGTTATGGCCATGTCTGGAACTGCCAGCCAATGCTAAGAGGGCTTAGCCTAGTAACGAGAGAAAATGGTAGGAAAGCAGCACCCACTTTATTCTGCTGCAGTGATCCTATGCACATTCGGGAGTTCCTTTCGTGGGAATCTGCATTATCCATCACACAATGATGTCAACATAATGCTTGCATGTCTTTACTAATATTGTAATTCATACAACTGGTAATCTTGAATCA